CGAAGGTTGAATTTAAGATCGTCCGATACGGTTTGCAGGACATTCCTTATGATCAACAATTTCAAAGGTTACTCGCCGTTGGCAGGTTGAAGGCTTTCGTCGGTAGAAACACTGAGGTTCGTAGGTACTTTCCTGATTTTGAACCCATGGATATCTCCAAATGGATAGAAACTCAATCGGACGCGCAGTAACCTTTCAAAATCGTATAACATCATCCCATGATATCACACGTATCTAATCACCTAAAAAAGATCATCCTTTTGATAATCGGCGGGTAAAGTTTGTAAACATCAAATATTTATCAACCCTGCATATCTTATTATTACATCGGTAGATCTTTGCTCAATGTAAATTGTAATGCAAACTAATATACACGAAACATATTTCACAACGTATAAATTATTTTATACTTGTATATCTATGTAATGCGAACGAATTTCTACATCATTATTTGTTATAATTTTTAAGCTTATTCGCCGAGTACCAATCATGATTGATAATCTTCATTCAAATAAGTTTTTTACATTAATTACATTAATAAAAAAAAAAAAAAAACTTTATTATATTGTGTATGCTTGTGTGACTCATTTTGGCTTCATCTCACATCATTGGTGACTCGTAACCACAAATGTTGTGCACATTTGGGATGAAAATTCAAAAAAAAAAAAGAGAGACCTTTTCCTCGTAAAGTTTCACCAATTGAAACCCATAGGTTAACATATGTATATATTTTTATTTTATTTTGTGCGTACAAGATAAAATACATGTCTGCTTTGTAAACAAACGCGTCCGTCGTGTTCTAAGCACATGTTTTCGAAATAATTCGCTGTGATACGTGTTGAGTTACATTAAAAACATGATATATTTGTCTCCGGTTCATTTGATACAATTGATCCTTTATTAACCCAGTTCTTTCCAGCTTTTTCAAATTTGTTGATAAATGGTATTATTAATGATGATTTCATCGGTGATTGATGTTTCATTCGGTGAATACCGATATCACACCAATTCTCAATTAGTTTCATGTTAATAAACTTGTCAATCAGAAAAGGAAAAAGGAAGAAAAGATTTCACCAATATCAAAACGCCAAAAAAAAAAGCACATGTAGGGATTCTTGTTTGTTTATTTAATATTTGCTCATATGCGTCGAGTTATTATTTTATTTTTTTTTTTTTCTTCCAATTGAATTGCAATGTTCGTTGTATCGCATAACAATATAATCAAATATAATCAAATATAACCAAATATACAGAGATCCCGAAAAAAAACGGCAAAAAATAAAAAAATTTGAATATACAGTATGTCTGGTGAGCAAATCCGATCGTCAATGTTGGCTGGGAATCTACGACTCGTGACCCCCAACAAGGCATTTTTTTTTTCTATAACAAGTCCAAAAAAAGAAAAAGATCCCGGAAAATTTTGAAGAGAAAGACGGAATTTTTTTTGTAACGATAAACAACACCTATATCAGTAGCTGCATCAGGGAACGTACATACAGTGTTTTTGAAATCAGATCGCAATAGAAAAATAATTTCTTCCAATGCGAACAAATGGTTATCAAATATCCGTAGTTTGAGGGGTCCCTGATTATATACCATTTTAAACATGTATAACATTACGTTTTACCTCTGTTAACATGTCACAAATTTAAGAGACAGGCTTATCAATTCACTTTACATGTTT